CCTGGATTCCCTGTGTTTATAGTTCCTATCTGTACCAGTGTACATCCTCTGGTCTAGCCGGATTTGTAAGGTAGAACTGGGATCATGATAGGGGGGTGGGGGGAAGAAGCATTAGGAACTAGAGGAAAATTGTATGTTTCATCGTTGCTACGCTGCACCCTGACTGGCTCATCTCCTCCCCGTGAACCTTCTGTAAGGGGATGCCTTGTTGACTACAGATGGGCTTTGGACCCCCACTCCACACTCCCCCTCATTCACAATGATTTGATTTTTTGTTCTTTGATGCCTGATACCTGATCCCTTCGACACCACCTGATGACACAGGCTGATGTGCTTCTTCCATGTGGGCTTTGTTACTTCTGAGATGCATTTGTAGTCTAAGAATGCGAATATATTCTAAGAATATATATTCTTAAGCTCATTTAATGCTCATAATAATCCCCATGAGGTAACTATATGTATAATTCCCATTTTATAGATGGTAGAATTAGGAGCACAGAGAATTTAAGTAATTTTCTCAAGAACACACGCCTATTGAAAGACAGGGTCAGACTTTTAACGTATCAATCTTCCCCAGAGTTCATAGTCTTAAACATCAAATCATGCTCCCTCTCATTGCTTTTGTAAATAATCTGTGCTTTGTTGTGGGGCAGGCTAAAGTATTCAAAAGTGTCAGCTTTCAAAATGGGAATTCTGACAACTTTATGTATCCCTTAACTGTCACCTCCTTGACTTGCTCTCTGGATCGTCATGCAGCATTTGCTGCTCTCAGTTCTGAAACTGCCTTCAAGGAGCAGCCGGGGATCCAGAGCTCTTGGGAACGAAGCAAAAACACACATTGGTTTTTTTGTTAACCTACTTTTGTGCTTGCTAGGATATAGAGACAGTAAACTTTTATAAGCAGTGTCACCACTCAGGATGACGTCAAGTTTGTCTTTGGTTCTCAGTGTAAGGCCGAATCACCACTCTCCTCTCCAAGATGGTCACGAACATGCAAGGGGCTAGAATCAAAGAGTGGGCAGGAAAGTTGACGGAAAGGTCATGACATTCTCCATGAACGTTCGGCAGTCTCCATGTCCGTGTGCAGTTTGCAGGCTAGCCTCTGTGTTTCACCGTCCCTGAGACCTTACCGCAGTCGCCTGGGAGCCCAGAGGACAGGCAGGGAGAGGGTTGCTGGGGCTCCGTCACCTGGGTACGCTGGGCTGGTGTCTGGTTTCACGTTGTGTGGGTGAGAGGGCAAGCAGGAATCTGGCTCCTATTCCCTTGAAACACAGGCACTGACAGGAAGCCACAGGAGAGGTGTTAATGCTCCCTCTCCAGGCAGCTGGTGCCAGTGGTGCTCGCACCAACGTTGCAAAGCTGGCAAAGCTGTGACCACTGTTATTGCCTTACATCCACAGAGCCACGGGTTCACCGTATTTCTGTCAATTAATTCTTCCTCTTTTGTTTCTCTTTTGAACAGAGCATCATGGTCCACCATCAGGAACAAACTCGGCCAGGCAAAGCCCCGCCCTGCAGCACAGGCCTATGGGGCAGTCACACACCAACCACACACCTGGGGACAGGTGGGGCCAATCTTCCCAAGTTTTGTTCTTTTCATGTCTGTCCTCCCCACCCTCCATCACCCAGCCACCTCTGTTCCTATGAAGCTATGCAGAAGCCAGCTTCTGGTGAGGTCAGATACTGTCCCCATTTCTCCCTCACCTCCGAATGCCTTCATCCCTCTCCCCAACCCCATCCTCGGGCACAATCATGCCTGATGAGGAGGATTAAGAAGTAGTGACAGTGACCTCTGGTGCGGCCACTCTTGGTCCTCAACTGATTCAGGGAAGCCCTGGACATCGTATCATGGGCTGCTGTTTTCCAGTCTGCCTGAGCAGGCGTGGCTGTGTACTGACCTCTTTCCACTTTTGTTGAAAACATTAACCTTGAGAGAGGAGAAAAAACAGCTAGATATTTCCAGAGGTTCAGCATCTACACAGGCATTGGTTCTACAGGGGCCTCTTCTTGCTGTGACACGGTCAGCTGCTCTGCCCACTGGTCCTGGGCTTGAGTGCAGTTTCTTTGGGGTGGACATGCAGGTGCCCTGTGAAAGCGTAAGTGTGAAGATGCTGGAGTCCCAGTCACCTCTCTAGGTCCTTCCTTTAGAACGTGGGTCAGAAGGAGAAAGTGGAGATTCACCTGCCTCTCTTTTAGATCTTTCTGATTTTCTTTTTTCCAGTGCAGAGTGACTCGATTTCTCTGTCTTGCAGAAGTGCTCTCGAAAGTGAAATTGGAAAAGATGTCTCCACATATAGACACTCGTGGTCCGATCACAAGCATCTCGCACAGCCTGACAGCGCAGTGATTTCCATCATTGGCAGTCGGCACAACCAGGTAAACAGTCCCACCCGCACCCGCCTCCCCCAACACACACACACACACACACACAGACATTTTGAATTACTCCATTTCTGACCCCAGTGAAAAAGTATTGCTAATGCAATGCTTATGAATGTGTTGCCAAAATTAACCGTTTAGAGGAGCGGACTACATGTCCAGCATTTGATGAGTTTCCAAGAAAGAATGTAAACGGTGAAAGATAAGTTCATCCTGGAGAAAATTGGAACCCATGGTGAAGTACTTAGATGTAAGCAGCAGTGTGTCAGCTAGAAGTGTGTCCTCCCCCGGGGAAAATTAGTCACAATCTACATAAGGAAAGCACTTTCCTAAATCCTGTTTTTCTGGTTCCGTTGTACCTTGACCAACCAATAAAGAAAAGATGTAATATACCAGTTACTTTTGGCTGCATTTTTAAAAGTCACCCATCAACGAGGGCTTACCTTCCTCCATGTTACAGAGCTACCTAGCAGTCAGAGCACACTGTCCCTTCTCCAGGTATAAAAGGAGGCATTTTTCAAAATATAAGTAAAACAGGCCTTGAAAACTCATTTTTCTTATGCCTCTGTCTCTCTAGAGCCTTGGCTGTTACCCAGTGGAGCTGGAGAGGGGGCCCAGGGGCTTTGGATTCAGCCTCAGAGGAGGGAAGGAGTACAACATGGGACTGTTCATCCTGCGTCTCGCTGAGGATGGTCCAGCCATTAAGGATGGCAGAATTCATGTGAGTTGGTTTCTGTCCACAGTCTTTGGTTCTGGCTTCGAGGGAAGGTAGTTGGCTCATGGGGAGGCAGAAAACACCGTAAGAAGCAGAATTTTTCATCACTGGAACCTGAAAGGCTAATACTACATTGTTGTCGTGAGGTGGCATCGAGTGGGTTCCAACTTGCAGCGACCCATGTACAACAGAGCAGGATAACACCCAGTCCTGCACCGTCCTCCCCATTGTTAGGCTGGAGCCCAGTCCTGCACCGTCCTCCCCCCCTCTCAGTATCACCACTCTCAGCACTGGTCCTGAA